AGGCAATCAGATGAACCCAGAATATAAATACAATGCGAAAAGTTTAATATTAAATGTTTATAAAGAGAAAACAACCATTTAGCGTATCGCATTCAGATTCCGAGCTCATCTGCTTGCCTGCATAAAATACACATCAATAAAAAGGAGTGTACAGAATTTGATCTTTTAATATCACTGTTTTAAAGGCACTTTAAGTGTTTTCACATTAAACGTTTTAGAATGTCACACTGTTTCTTTTTTTATTGATATATCGTGGCGGGGGTTTTATATGTATTGCAAATGGCCAAAACTTGCATTTTGTTCACATATCTTTGTTTTATCCTTTTGAGAGGTGATCTAAATACAGTATTTGTGGATTGGAAACAAATGGAAAATTGACAGGCTTGTGCTGCATTGTACGGATGCTTTAGTCCTCTTTTTAATATGAATCATGCATTTTGATTGCCTTGAAACAAGACATTGTGCCAAGCATCTCTTTTGCGCTCCACAGAAGTCAGTCAGTCATGCAAGTTTGGAAAAACTTTTCTATGTAATGAAGTTTCACAAAATGTCTATGCACTAAAATACAGTTAGCACACAAACTGTGAGTATTTCCTCTTTCATATGAACAGTAGATACAAGGTGTATTGTTTCCTGAGGCCAAAAGCGGGAAGTGACCTCTAAATGCCGCACGTCTAGTTCCTCTTTGAGCCGGGTTTAAACACACAGCTGTCGGTTCATCAGTCCTGACCTACAGCCATCCTCACACAGATAAGTGCTGCTCTCTCAACACAGCTTTGTTTCACAGATAACAGCGGTTTAGCCCTGCTACAGCTGGAGAACAACTGGAGGTATGGATTTTAATGTTTGCATATTTGTACATCATTGTTCTTTCGAGAGGTGAAGATCCTTGACATAAATCTCTCAAAATCTGTTTAAAACTCTGTTAAATTAAATTCAGTTAAATTCTGTTAGCATTTACTCACCCTCATGCCATGACTTTCTTTTTTCTGTAGAACATAAAAGATTATATTTTGGTAGAATGTTGGTTGCAAAATAGTTTTGAAGCCCACTGAATTTCATTGCAGATACAAAAATATATATATGTTACGCTTCACAGAAAAAAGGAAAGGGAAAGTAAACGATGACAATTTTAATTTTTGATTGAACATGTCTAGGTGGCATTTCACTTAAAAATGTAAAGAAATAAGAATTTATATTTTCCTTTAAGACCATTTAAATTGTAGAACCATTAAGATTATTTGAATTAATCAATTTAATTTAATTTATGAAACAAACAGTGCTTTATTTTTCAGGTACGGTAGGTGTATTTAGCGGTAGTTCACTGTATAAATACATTGATTCTTATTAAAGCAACTGTATTAAAGTTCTTCAGTCAAGAGCAGTGAGTGATTTTTCACTTGTGTTTTGTTGTTTTATTAACATTAAAGGGATAGTTCGCCCAAAAATGAAAACTATGTCTTCATTTACTCACTCTCAAGTTGTTTTAAACCTGAACGAGTTTCTTTTTTCTGTTGAACATGAAAGTTATTTTTAAGAATGTGGGTAACCAAACAGTTGCTGGTCACCAGTGACTTCCATAGCATTTTTTTTCCTACTACCAAAGTCAATGGGGACCAGCAACTGTTTGGTTACCCATATTCTTCAAAATATCCTATTTTGCATTCAGCACAAGAAAGAAATGAATACAGGTTTGGGACAACATGAGAATGAGTAAATAATAACTTTTGGGTGAACTATCCCTTTAATGACAAGCAGCAGCATGTTTAGTACTATTAGCCTGCTGTCACTTTAAGACCTGCACACATCTATTATACAGGCGTTTACTTTCATTTTAGACATAATCAACTGTGTTTATATGTAAACCTGGCGTGTTTTTGACAGTGCAATCAGATGTGGAAGATAACTTAGTCCAGTAACAAGGCGCTGTTTGACAAGCTTTTCAATATTTAACCGGCAAGGCTTTAAAGCACATGCAAATAGTGCACTTTTGTGATTGCGAACAAGTGCAGTGTCCCGTAAGCGTAACTCTACCACCGAGTTAACATTTGATCTGAACGTATGTCGCGTTGTACAGTATATTAAGAACCGATAGAATGGGTGCAGCAGCATGATACTATGATATTTCTTCAAAAGCAGATCGTCATATCGCACAGCCCTATTTCGGTGTCTCACTACTTGAAAATGCGGAGCTCATGGCACTAGACGATGAATATATAAATGGCTGATGTTTGTGTAGTGTCGGTCTACATACATAATTTAAAATGAGTAACAGATGGAATGCAAGATGACGTCCTGTGTGAGCGACCCCAACAAGTGCTGATAGCCAACAATAGCAAATTTGAAGTATGACAATAGATATTTTGAAGTTTTCTAAATATGGTTTCTCTCTTTGTACTTATGAACACAAAGCATATGCTGACTCCATATATGCTAGCTTATTTTTATCTATCTTTATTGAAACTGTATCAAACCCTATAATTCTACATACTATATGAACTAACAGTGAACACCTTCCTCTATTTCTTTATTTAAGGTCGTGTGTTTCCAAGACGATGCAGGGACCTTGGTTACAAGCAGCTAAAAGACTACCATTTGAGAACTCTAGTCTAGGGGTTTTCAAAAGCAGGCATGGAGTGTTGATTGGCAAGACGAGCCTGGATCACAACTAAAGGCATTTCTCTCGGACAGACATTCAATGGTCCCATTTCTGAACGATGGTAATTACATGGAATTTGAAAATAAGCACTGCATTTGAGGTTTCTTAGAGCTGTTTGATTGAAGCACTCTGAAGCTTAGACATACATTGTTTACCATTATTAGCTAAAATTTATTAAGGCTGGGCGGTATATAGGTAGATACATTTACGCCGCTATGTGTGCTTTTATCGCCTATTTTACAATGGCTTCTAATAATCCAAATTTAGTCACAAACTATGTTTTATTTCAAATGAAAAGAAAAAATATATATATATATAAGATGAAGTACCTTTCATTTGTAAATATGTGATATATGCAGTTAGCATGATATAAAAATAATTGTCTTGTGTTATTTTGGACATACCGCCCATTCCTACTCTTTATAATAATATTATTAAAATAATATAATATATTTTTAACTGCTTTAATAAATATCTCTAGCCGTTTACTTCGTAACTTGCTTCAGAGTGCTGGGATCACAGCCACTGAGAGACCTCACCCACTGCACACATGCAATAGGAACCATCTCAGCGTGTTCACTGCTGTGATCAGTAGCAAATAGAGTTAACCGTCATACTTGGGAGCTCTATGCCTGGGAACGGAGCTTGTTGTTTGCCTATTACCAATAAATAAACATCACGTTAAACAAAAATCCACACACAAATGATAAAACATACAGACAAGAAACCAGGACTTCAACAATCCTTATTAAACCTAACCGAAATATACTATAAAAGCTTTCAAATTAACTTTTCCTAAACATTTCCCACATCCAATATTGGATTTAGTGCTTTGAAATTGAGCTAAGCGAAGGTATTTTCAGGATTGTCAAAGTCCATATAAAAAACATAAATGTACATAAGAGCTACTTGGAGTGAACTCCTCTCAGGCAATGCGAGTATATTAAAAGTATACACACATCACACAGGACCTGCTCAGATATTAATATGCTAAATATCACAGTTTTTTATGATCTTAATTCCCTTCTACACTGAGGTAACTGTGTGTGCAAGGAAATACATAAGTGAGAATCTTAAAACCTAGAAGAATTAGCACATGGAATAGTGAAAATAATAACGGTGTCTCAAAACCTAGACGACTGACTCATCGATTTCATTTATTGGTGTCGATCTAAACACGCCAGAACTGAACTCCATCATGGAATATAATTCTCATAGCAGGAAATAACATGCTCTGTAGCGAGTTTGTGCAGTTCTTAAATTGTCGGTCCATATACAGTGGTGTGAAAAAGTGTTGGACCCCCTTGATTTAACAGGCGGGGGCAATTCATTTTTCACGTAGGGCCACATAGGTTTGGACAGCTTTTTTCCCTTAATAAATGAAATCATCATTTAAAAACTGCTTTTTTCTATTTACTTGCATTATCTTTGTGTAATATTTAAATTTGTTTGATGATCTGAAACATTAAAGTGTGACAAACATGCAAAAAAATAAGAAATCAGGAAGGGGACCAACACTTTTTCACACCACTGTATGCACATGCACACTATTTTTAAAGAATTGTTTTAAAATCTCAAGACCATACAGTGTCGGGAGCTGCTGATTATCTGAAATGAAGTACTGAAGCAAGTTTCTGCCCTCCTCTAAGCATTCTGACCACTAGATAGAGCCAAAGAGCCACAAAATTAAAACTAAGACCCCATTTTGATATATTTGTGTGCATCTATTACTCGTAAATGTTCCGGTATCATGCAATTAATGTGTTTTCATGATTGATCATTCCTGTCACTTTTGAGTATTTGTTGTTTTTTTTCTAGTTGGATTGCTCAATATGTTTGGAACTGAACAGAGGAGACTGTCTAAGCAGCTCATTTTACAGGGTTTCTACAGACATGATGAACAAGTTAAATTTAAGACCTTTTTAATACCACCTTATATGGAATTTAAGACCTAAACCTGTAATGGAAATACACATTTTATTACATGCATATATGTAATATTTAATGTGTTTAAATGAAAAAGAAAACAAAGAAATGAAATCAGTATCAACAAAATTCATCTTTGCAATCCAGACATAAGGATGCATCTGAAGTGGCATTTAGATGTATTTACACAGTTTAATGCAGGACATGAATGCATTTAACCTGCAGTTACAAATGCATAAATCATTTGATATATTAAACATAAAAAAATGTAATACTGATATTTGAAATGATTTAAAAAATGAATTTAATGACATATCGCTTTTTTATTACTTTAATGAGAATGAGATTTGTTTTCCATTTTGCTGAAAAAAGTCACAATGTAAAAAAAAAAAAAAAATCTCAAGTGTCCCACAAATATTAACCTTCATTTTCTTTATGAAAAATACCATTACCTACTGTTACTTTCTTTTGATTTTAGGGGTGAAATACAAATAAAGGATATATTTTTGACAGGTTTTGTGGTGTTGGGAGAAGCCCAATCAGCTGTCTTTTCTGATCTAGTTTGTGCTTATAACCTGGGTTTGTCATAGTCAGTGGGTTTGAAGCTGTTGGGATGTGCAGCAACAACCTGTGGATTCACAGTGTGGTGGCTCTTACATGGCAACTCCAATCCAGGGTGACCAATGGTGTTGCGGACACATGGAGGAGAATGCCGCCCATCTGCCATGTCTGACTCTGAACACTGAGCTTCCCCATGCATGACGGCCAGGCCAAGACGCAGGCGCTCTGCATACGACTGAGCCCTGAGTAGACAACGGCAAGAGAGAGAAGACAAACAGAGATGTTCCTTATGATCCTCTTGGCTGTATTTTTATACGAGTGGCTTGTTATGGAGTCCTGAAGACTTACTCCTCTTTTCCATAATAATCGTCAAGCTTGAAAAAGCAGATACAATTCCAAACAACTTGTGCGCTACATTCAAAAACGTATTGTTTTTATAAGTACACAGTTAAAGTGATAGTTCACTCAAAAATTAACATTGTCTTTTTTTTCCCCCCCAGTCTCGTGTTGTTCCAAACCTGCAAGAATTTCTTTCCTCTAATGAACACAAATGAAGATATTTTGAGGAACCAAACAGCTGCTGCAAGCCATTCTTCCATGGCTATCATTAAATCATCAGTTAAATAACTTGCAAAACACACCTTTCTGAGTTGAAACAAAGAATATCTTGAAGTCGAGTTTACTCAACTCACTATTTTTAAGGCAGCAGGTGAACTTTCGTTTTTAAGTTTAACCAACTCGAAATGTTCTACAGTGTGCGGTCAACTGTTTTGGTTACAAACATTCTTCAAAATATCTTATTTTGTGGTCATTGCATGTTTTCTTTATATGTTTTCGGCTACAAATGTTATGGGCCTCATTTATCAATCTAACGTAGAAATGAGCGCAGATCTGTGCGCACAAATCAACTTACGACAGAGTTCACGTGTGATTCATGAAACATTCGTATGCCGCCAATCTCATCGTACGAATGATCGCACGTTGATAAATGTGGCGGCATGAAAACAATCGTCATTTGAATAACACGCCCCTAAAAACACCCTGGTTTAGAAGCCTGGCCCCTAGAGTTTTTCTCCTTTCACAGAAGCTATTCGTCCATATAAAGCTAAAGCCCTGTACAAAACAACAACAAAAAAGACATTCTAATCTTACTGGTCAACGATCGACTAATGAGCTTCGTTTGACGGTCAGGAAAATAAAAATGAACAAAATGCTGTCATTCTACAATTCTCCACTGTATTTACTATGCTGCGCGCGAGTTCAGGTAACTCAAAAACTTGCGTCCACGAGCTGAGACCAGACGTGAGATTTGATCGTAGCCACCGCTCACGTCCATATTGATAAATTCCAAGTTCTGCGTTGAAACAACCGTACGCCCAACTTTCTGTTGTACGTTAGTTTTGTAAATGAGGGCCGTTGTGCTCTCTTCTCTCTTTAAAGGGGTCATATGGTGCTGCTAAAAAGAACATTATGTTGTGTATTTGGTGTAATGAAATGTGTTTATGCGGTTTAAGGTTCAAAAAACACATTATTTTCCACACACTGTACATTCTTGTGTCTCCTCTATGCCCCGCCTTTCTGAAACACGTTGATTTTTGCAAAGCTCATCGGTCTGAAAAGCAAGGTGTGCTCTGATTGGCCAGCTATCCAGTGTGTTGTGATTGGCCGAATACCTCAAGCGTGTGACGGAAATGTTACGCCCCTTACCATACTGTGATGCCCTGTCAGGAGCGACGAGACAAAAACATTAAAACCCATTATAAACGAGGCATTTGTTGCATCCAGTGGGGACATAATTACGGATTATAATGACTTATACTGTCTTTTTACACGTTGCGTTGCATTGCGTTGCATCGTGCCGCGTAAACATAAAACCATGTCTGAATTTGTGATCGGAGAAATGACAAACAATAAGTGCTACTCTACACTGCTCAAA